GTGTATGTGTGTAAGTGAGTGTGTGTGTGTGTGTGTGTGTGTGTGTGTGTGTGTGTGTGTGTGTGTGTGTGTGTGTGTATTGTGTTTGCTTGTGATTTTAGGCAACCAGTTCGTATGTTCGCGTCTCCCCATGGGTGTCTCTGTACACGTGCATGCGTGTGGATTTGATACGACATTGTATTGCGGATGCATTAGTTTGTGCCTGTCTGGCTGACAGTCTTTGTTTCTGTCTCTTTCTTTGTCTCTTTGTCTGTCTATCTGTCTATCTGTCAGTCTGTCTGACTGTCTGTGTATATGTCTGTCCATCATATGCGTCTGTGGTGTATCGGTTTGGCGCTTCGCTGTCGCACGACGGCGACGTGAGCTTGAAGAAGTATTTTTTAGTGCCTCTGCCTTTCTGCTAGGACTTTGTATCCCTCTCAGCCCGGCTTGGACGCTGTATCTGTCTCTGTCCATGGGCGAAGCAGCCCTCCTCTGAAGTTAGACAGCCCTATTTTTTTTAATAGGAAAAAAATGGCAGTAAGGAATGTTTTTAAATGTTTTTCTCTGAAAGTGTTAATGGGTTAACAATGCGTACTGCAAAGCGTCCTAAAGGGGCAAATCGACCACGTGCAAAACGGAAATCCTCATGGAATTTTTGTCGAATTTGCTGTTTTTATCGGCTTGTATGCGACACCACGAACAGTTAAAATTTCTGGTGCACATGAAAAACGGACGCGTGGTCTCGAACTGTGCTCACTTTGGTGGCAATTTATGCCGCCGTTTGCCAACATGCCACCAAGACGAAAGCTGAGAGACTGATCGTGCCAAGGCTATGGCATGGCTGCATGATGGAGTTGGAGTCCGAGAATTTGCCAGAACGCTTGCAGTGTCACACTCTATCTTTGTCCGCCTGAGGCAGCGCCATCAAGCCACTGGATCAGTCCAAGAACGCCCACGTGCAGGTCGACTCAAGAAGATCACTCAGAGAGAGTACCGATATGTCTGCATGCAGGCCCTGCGACAGAGGACAACGACAGCCAACAACATCAGGCAAAGTCTGCGTGCTGTTACCAACACGGCGGTGAGCTCCCAGACCATTCGGCGTCGTCTGCATGCTGCCAAAATCCGAACCAGGCGTCCAATCAAGAAACCAATGCTGACCGCAGGACACCAGGCTAGTCGTCTTGCTTGGTGCATAGCTCATGAACCATGAGCACGTGCCCAATGCAGCCATATGTTGTTCACAGATGAGTCGCGATTCATGGTCAACCCAAAAGATGGACGTGTGGGTATTTGGCGGCGTCCACACCAGCAAACAGGGATCACAAGAATGCCATGGCCAGCCAACAGTCCCGATTTCACCCCATTGAGAATGTGTGGGGTGAACTTGGCCGGAGAGTCCATCAGCACCAGCCACCACCGGCTAACCGATAAGAGATGCCACAGATGCTGCAGCAGGAGTGGGGAAACCTTCCTCAGGCCTTCATCGCCACCATCAACAACATGAGGCGATGCTGCCTTGATTGCATTGCTCGGCGGGGTGGTACCCACCCGTTTTTTGAACGGACTGTCCTGGACACTTAGTCCTGGATTTTTGTTTTGAGGGGTACTGTTGTTCTGAGTGACATATTGCCTACGTTCGTGACGTCATCTTTCTGAAATTGAATTGATTTTGTCAAGAAATGATTCCATTAACTATATTTGAAATTTCAAATGTTTTGCTTTTCATCTGTTTGTGCTGCGATAGTGTTTGTAAGTGGTCCTTAACTTATGTTGAAGTCTGTACATAGGTGTGTTTAGCCCTGTGTGAGTATAGCTTTGTATTTGTACGAATGAGTTTGTTGTGTGTGCGTGCTCGTGTGTGTGTGTGTGTGTGCGCGCGCGCGCGCGCGCGTGTGTGTGTGTGTGTGTGTGTGTGTGTGTGTGTATGTATGAGTGCGGTTGTATGTTTGTGCGTATAAGCTTACATATTATTATATGTGTAAGTGTTTGTATGTGTGTGTGTGT